TATACTATATGAGTGTGTGTGTATGTATATATGAGTGTACTTTGAGAAGTTCATGGAAAAATAGGATTGAAAGATAATATGAATCTTTCCATGAACTTTTGAAGTACCTTTGTGTATATATGTAATGACGTTTCAGTCAACACTAGACCACTTACATGATGGTGGTCCCATAAGATTACAATGGCTGTACCATATAGCCTAGGTGTGTAGTAGGTTACAATATCTAGGTTGTGTAAGTACACTCTATGATGTTGGCACAGTGATGAAATTGCCTAACAACGCATTTCTCAGAATGTATCCCCATTGTTAAGCCATGCTTAACAATTATATACTATATTATATGCTGTATGATATACATATTTCCTTTATTATTGTCTATCTTCCTCTGGTAGAATTTCAGCTTTATGAGGGCAAGGATATTTTTCTGTTATGTTCACTGCTGAACTTCAGCTTCTAGAATGTTGTAGATTATCAATAAATATTTGTTGAGTGAATGAATTCAGACAGTTACTTTTTAGTACTGCTTATTAAGCTAGAAGCTTTTCTTTCACTCCTAAGAAAAACTGGCTAACTCTTTAGGACCTTGCTTGCATTTTCTAGATCCTACCTCAGCATGTATTCAAATTATAAAACCTCACTCAGTGGAGCTGAGGTGATGGAACAAAGTCTCAGTGAGGGAGCAATCTGAGTTTTAGAATTCAGGAGAACCATCGTAGAACACAGCTCTGTAAGTAACAGGGATTTTTACAAATAAAAGGCAAATTAATTCTCAAGAATGTCATATAAAACAGAAATGCTACAGGTAAGAGAAGTGATAGAGCCGCCTCCTTATCAAGTCTGAAGGAATGCTCTCTGCCACTATCGATCAGTTCACATTCTGTGGATTTTGATATAAGTGGAATCATAAAATATGTACTTTTGGGGGGATCTGGCTTCCTTCATATAAAATAATTATTTTGAGATTCATCCATCATTGCGTGTATCAATAGTTCATTCCCTTTTATTGCTGAGTGGAATTCCATGAGATAGGCCACAGTTTTTCTCCATTCACTTCTTGATGGACATTTTTCTTGTCCTTATTTTCTATAAGCTGGCAATTATATCTGAAGACTTCAGATTAAACATTTTGGCAAGAATACTTTCTACATTACACTGTGTATATCATATCAAATTACATCAGGAGACATATAATGTCTGGTTGTGTCAGCAACGCTAAGACCCATCATTTGAGTTAGGGTGGTGAATTGTTATGTCTTTGAATTTTTTTGTTGTGTTCATTGATTTTTTATTTTTTCATTTCAGGTGCTATTGTTTTCATTATATTGGTTACTTTTATTTCCATAGCTATATCTTTTCCCAAATTTCTTTATTTTCAGTGTCTTTTTTCCTTTCCATATTCTGTTATTTTTCTCAAGCCTTTTTAATATGTTTAACTGATTTGGTTTTGAGTTACGTTTATTCCATTCTTTGCTGTTTCTCTTTCTTCTAATAGTGTTTAGGTCCTTGACAGTCTCCCTACAATCTCCCTTTTCATCTAATTCTGTTATCTTTAATAATTTTGTTTCATTGATTACGTATTTTCTTTAGGGTCTCCTATAGCAATGTTACTCAAAATGCTTGACTGTGATAATTTAAGAAGCATGCACCGTAATATAAACTGCTTTCTTCATTGAGAATGTCTTTTTTTTTTTTCCTTTTTGTCTTTTTTACTGACCGGTAACGGGATCGCAACCCTCGGTGTTGCGCCCGCACCGTGCTCAGCCAGTGAGC